AAACTTCAATATAATTATTAAAATTAAATTGAATTAAAGTATCAAGCTCTGTTTCATCCTCAAGCGAAATTTTTGGAACCAAAAACTTTCGTTGACAATGAAACGGAACTTGAGAATTTATTTCGCTTTAGGACGAAACAGAGCTTGATACTTTAATTCAATTTAACTTTAATAATTATATTGAATCATTTGGCTCCTGTTTTTGAAACATGAAAATTCTTATGTAGCGAAGGAATCATATTTTTTTAAAAAATAAATATAATTATAATTTAGGGTCTACTTTTGTATTGAGCTCTGTTTTTTTAAAAATAAAAACAAAAATACTACAGAACTTCGGATTATTTACCTCACGTGTTCTTTCTTATTTTTCTATATATTTGCACACACATACACACACACACGCGCACGCACACACACACATACACACACACACACACATATATATATATTTGTGGATTTAGGTAGAAAATTCTCTTTCAGGCATGTCTGACTGAATAAATTACTAACATTTTGTCTACTTAATTTTTAGCATAACCCTTTCATAATCACGAATATTTTTCAGTATATTACAATCAAATGGGACAAACCAAATATTACAGTGCATTTCTTGCCTCACTTGATTGTAATATACGTAAAATATTCGTGAATATGAAATGATTATGATAAAAATAAGCAAACACGTTTGTAATTTATTCCATGAACATAATTTTATATATTTTTTGTTCATACGTTATATTTATAGATACAAATATTTAAGTAAATGCTCTGTTTATAATAAACAATATTAACCTGCCTGAACGTCCGAGAAATCTCAAAGCAAACATGTGCCTCTGACAGGAATCGAACCTATATCCTAAACGGAACCGCCATATTGCCTGACATATTATACCATTTAGCTATATGACATTATTCGGTCATTCAAACCAGTAATTGTTGTTAATACTGTTTATTATAGACAGTGCAATTACTTAAATAAGTGGATCTATAAATATAATGTATAAACAGAAAAATCTATTAAAATTATTGTCGGACTTTTTTTTATATAATATGGCATTTGTTTACGTTAAGATACGTCTCACAGTATATAATTGTTTTTTTTTAATACCGAAATTCTCATGTTTCAAAACTGAAACTTCAATTTAAATTCAATGATAAAAAAACTCAAGATAGAAAGTTCCGTTCCTTTAACAAGCGATGCTAAAAATAACATTTTTTGAAATTGATTTACTTCCAGACAAATTTGATATTTTGAGATCTTTGGGTTAAGGAAAATGCCATCTTTTTTATTTTAGGTATGTTAAGATTTAACTTATTTAGAAAAATCATGCATCTAATGTATTGTAGCTATCAAGTCGGTCAAGGTACGGTTGGGATATACGTCTATTGACACAAACTTCTTCTTTTTCTTTTTTATATATATATATATATATATATATATATATATATATATATATATACATATTATATATATATATATGTGTGAGTGCGTTCGCGGGCATGATTTTTCTACCGTTGGAAATTCTGGTTTAATTTTCTTTTTTGTTGTCGACGTATGACGAATTAAACTCAAAATACAAAGTTCAGTTTCTTTATCAATCGATGCTAAAAATAACTTGTTTTTTTGATTAACTTAATTTATAAGTCCAGACAAATTTGATATTTTGAGATATTGGGGTTAAGGAAAAATTTAATCTTTTTTTTTTATTTAGGGATAAGAATTAAGAATTAACTTATTTCGGAAAGTCATCCATGTAATGTATTGTAGCTATCAAGACGATCATGTTAGGTGTTTTATTATATATATATATATATATATATATATATATATATATATATGATACGAATCATTCATACAAGAAACAAATATAGAGGTTAATGATTTAAATGGTGAGAATACATCTTCGCAAACAATTTCAATAAGATACACCAACCAAAGCCATTTAAATCATTAACCTCTACATTTGTTTTTTCTGCATGAATGATTCATGTAATTATAAATTGAACTGCACCTATCATCGAAATATATATATATATATATATATATATATATATATATATATATATAAATATATATATATATATATGTATATATATATATATATATATATATATATATATATATATATATATATATATATATATATATATATACATTCATAACGGATTCGGAGGTTTTGTATATTATTTGAATTGTTTGCGATGATGGATTTCTCATAATTAAATCATTAACCTTTGCATTAGTTTTTGTGTGAATAATTCATGAATTTGTAAATTGATTGCACGTTTATCGTAATATATATATATATATATATATATATATATATATATATATATATATATATATATGCGAATGCGCTTGCAGGCTTGATTTTTTCTAACATTGGAATACTGGTTAATTTTTTTTTTTTTTTTTTTTTTGTCAACGTATGGCCATAAATTTGGACGGGGAAATATGAACGTTTTCTTTTCTTCTTTTTTGCAGTGACAAACACATTGATTTGGTAATTCTTGCAAAAATCAGATAATTGTCAGAATTAAGTGAAACTTTCAGAACTTATTTAGAAATGAACGAAATTATATAATTTTATACTTGACACTATTTATTACTTTGCTCTTCCTCTCATTTAATCCATATGAAATTCCAACAAATTCTTTTCTTTTGTATCGCTAAATTTCAATAATTGTTATAAGGTGAAGTCCTCGGACATTTTAAATCTACAATATTTTTTTGTCAAACAATTCCCTCAGTTGCACGAAATTCTGTCCTGGATGGTAAAATAAAATATGCAATAAAACTAAAACATTGTTTTTTTTTTCTTTTAATTAGAAAAGCTTTTAATTGGTTTTATGAATAAAATAATCAATTTCTACACGATGTTTTTTTTTCATCTTTAAAATTTTTAGTTAGAATAATTTAAACACAATTATTTAGCACAGCATTTACAACGGTCAGCGTGTGCAAATTAAATTTTTTCTGCATCCATATATTGCAGTGTTCATCATTTGTCTTGCAATGAAAAATACCCTGATGATGACATTGAGCTATGTCGAAAGGACTCGGAATAAAACAAATATGTATCACCACGGCGATTTTCTATCGTCTTTCAATAACGACACCAAAATGTTTATCCGTCAATAAGAGGTGATTCAGTTGACAAGTAGACAGAATATATCTAAATTATTTAACGAAGCATGTCTCAATATATATATATAATTCCGTTATTATTTACTAATTTTGTGTATTTTTTCAAAGAAACATGACCCATTGCATATGTTAGTATTTCGTATATCCATTTCACATAGTCCTTCTTTGTAGATTGACCACAGATTCTCATATATACATACACACACGGACATTATATATATATATATATATATATATATATATATATATATATGTATATATATATATATCAGACATATATTTATATATATCAGACATATATATATATATATATATATATATATATATATATTGAAATATTAATAATATATATATATATATATGCATTATAAAATTAATATATATGCTATAATAATAATATAAACATATTAATAATATAGCTAATTTTCTATATACACACAAATTTATATATACACAAATATATATATATATATATATATTTCAGTGCATGTCAATTTATCTCATCAGGCGATTGAAAGTTACTGGCGAGTGAACTAATTATTTCTAATTTCAAAGAAAACTATGCAAACTTCTTTTTCAAAAAAAGCTAATAAGATTGTGGGCTTTACTATGATAGACCACTCAAATATGATCTAAGTTAAATTTAAACGAAGCGAAGAAGCAAAAATAAAAATTATATTAAATATATATATATATATATATATATATATATATATATATATATATATATATATATATATATATATATATATTACTTAATTCCTTTTTATTACTATATAAATATTTACCTATTTTTATACACACTTCAATATACGATTTCCTTTTCGTTTTTTTTATAAAAAACATACGTGTAACAAACTATTTCTTATTTAACAGTTAAAATATTTAATCCTTGAAAGGGCTCGGATAAAAAGAAAATTCGGATCGTTTTTATATATTTCATCATCCGAAAAGAAAAAAAAAATAGTTCGCATGAGAAATTGTATAAACAACTAAATAAAAAATAAAAGCACCTTGTCAGTCGTATTCAATGAATATATATATATATATATATATATATATATATATATATATATATATATATTCTCGTGTGTTTAGTCGTATTGTCTTTTCACTGAGATATATTTAAATTTTTGACACATTGTCATCCGTAAAAGCAAAACATACACATACTCTTAGCTACAAAATATAAAAACTCTCTCTCTCTCTCACACACACACACACACACACACACACACACACACACACACATATATATATATATATATATATATATATATATATATATATATATATATATATATATATACATGTTTCTGTTCTCTGAGGAACTATACTATATTAATCAAAGCCTTGAAAAAATTCTCTCAGAGGACAAAAACTCATCGATGAAGAATAGTTGTTCCTCTTTCCTTTGACACCCATATATATATATATATATATATATATATATATATATATATATATATATATATATAATTTTGCCTTTATTCATATTGTTCTTTTACAGATATTCTATATCTTAAATTTTTAAACATTGTTGCTATCCTGAAAAAATGTGCACATACACTTAGCTAAGTAATACTTAAACACACACACACACACACACACATATATATATATATATATATATATATATATATTTGTCTGTGTGTGTGTGTTAGCGAGCTTATATATTTTTCTGTCTATATCTTTTATGTCATGTGTACTTAAATTTATTTGTTTTTCTTAGTTGGACGCATTTGTTGTGGCTGAATTACCCGGCGATTTAACTTTCTGACGATTTGTTGTCTTTGATTAACTTATAAATACTACATTTTCTACAAAGAATTAATGCGCAGGTCCTTTTATACGCATGCGCGAATTGTTGTTGCTCGTGGTTATCGCTGGAGTGGCTTTGGCGGTTGCGAAATACTCTTGCCGCGTCCTCTTTGAACCCGTAAAGTTTTAAGAATCATGAAGTCACAAATGCATATTTCCAAACCCAAAATGTAATGAAGCGAACCAGAAGATCAATACAAATACTCACACAAAAACACACACAGAATTTATTATATATATATATATATATATATATATATATGTATGTATGTATGCAAGTATGTATGTGTGTGCATATGGTTATTGACTACACACACAAGACAAACACAGAATTTTACATACATATATATATATATATATATATATATATATATATGTATGTATGTAAGTATGTATGTATGTGCATATGGTTATTGACAGTTATATCTTTATTTTCAGTTAAATATGGACATGATGCACTTGCTGAACTTAAAGATGAGATAAATTAAAAACAATGTTTTGTGCGTGGTCACGCACTTGGCTTTTCAATGTGGTCGTTATGACATCAATCCTGGAGGTAACGATAACGGAAGAACCATTATACAATGGCTAACACCACCACCAGCACCAACACCAACAATAATTATAATCATAATAATAATAATAAGAAGAAGAAGAAGAAGAAGAAGAAGAAGAGGAAGAAGAAGAAAAGATGCTGTATATTAGATCAGATGACTTATTTTTGTACTTTTCCAATGAGTCCCGTACATTAGAAGAATCGAGAAAGAAAAAAAAAAAAAGATGGCCGGGTTGGAGGCGACCCGGTGGTTAAGTTCACATATTCTATCAGCCTCAATAATCGAAGTTCAAGCCCAAGGAAGTAAAAAAAAAAAAAAGAAAAAAAAGAAAAATCCAATGCTGATTTTCTAGACAAACAGACCCATCTCAATTGAAAAGATTACACCAGACCCCCCACCCCACGACCCACTCTCGTCATATTAATCCCAGCTTACTTTGTAGACATCGCAAAGAAACTACAGTTCTCACATGAACAGAGGGGTTAAGCAACGTCGAGCCCGGTCAGTACCCAGATGGGTGACCGCTTGTGAACACTAGGGGCCGCTAGCTTGGATGCGTACGTCCTCGAATTGGAGATCGAAGTGTCCAGTTCCAATTCCGTTCGTTATATTCACTTCTGCGCAAACACCCTTATGAATCAACCTCTTCTCCCCCCCCGCTATGGATTAATTAGTAGTACCTATATCAGAAAATCCTTATTATCTCAAAAAAATTCATACAATCTAAACATACTTTTTGGTTTTACATAACCTGCAAATGGGGGTACCTCGACGCGGTGTAATTGTTAGCAACTTGTTCTCACCAGAAGAATTAAGACTGAGTGGTGCGAAGCTGAGATCTGAAGACGGTTAAGGATGGCCAAGGATTCATTCCAAAACCTGGACAGAGTACTGCGAGACAGAGGGGATTTCTTTGGTGAAAAAGAAAAGAGTATTGAGTTACGTGACATCTGCCCTCTGTCGTATACGACAGACGACGGTAAGTGCGACACTGAGATCTGTAGACGTATTGGGATGGCTAAGGAGAGATTCCAAAAGCTGGGCAAGATACTGAGAGACGGGGATTTCTTTGGTAACAAACAATCCTGAACTGTTACGTGACATCTGTTCTTCTTTACGGCAGCGAATGTTGGACGGTCTCCTCAAAGATAAAAAAAAAGACTCGAGGCAACGGAGATGAGGTTCTACAGAAGGATGCTAAGGATATCATGGACCGAGCATGTGAGCAACGATGAGGTCTTGGAGAGGATGCAAACAAGAAGGAAGCTTATAATTAACATAAGGAAGATGCAGATGAAATTCCTGCGACACGTAATGAGAAAGGAGGGCCTGGAGAATCTGATACACACAGGTCGAATCGAGGGCAAGTAAGACAAGGGAAAGCAACACATGACATACCTAGAGGAGCAAGTGGATTACAGAACATGGACTGGGGGAGTTGGCACAGGCACGAAATTATTGAGGGCTACAAACGATAGCGGGAAATGGAGAGCCATGACCGCCTACATCTTGAAAACAGACGGCACATAAGAAGAGAGTTCGATCCTCACTGGGTGCCTCATACTTTCAGCCTTGTGCCACATCTAAGCTACGCTTAACATAACCTGTAATAATTTTTGCTGTCAGTATTTATCACATCAAACCCCAGTTTTCGCCCCCCTCCCTTGCGATGTTGATTTTCTAAAGAATGTGAAGAATCAACCCGTCATACTGACCACACCTCTGGCCTAGCCCTGTTGGTTAAATGGAGGGGAAGGACTGGTTTGTAACATTCAGTACCTTTTTTGTAATCATTTCACTCCAACCAAGGCAATAAAGCCACTAAGAAGCAAGGAGTTAGTGAATATAAGAGAACATGAAAAAATATACTAATGAGGAGAGAGGGCAATAAAAGAAGATGAATCTAGAAGACAACAGATAACGATTGACATTGCATTTAAATTTTTGAAGATCAAATTTGGCTGGAAAGCAAGAAACCGGAAGAGAGTGTCGCAGGCGAGAAGTACGAGAAAAGAAATTGTTATTATAAAACTTACGGTTACATCAAGCCAATCCAATCTCAAACCTGCAAAAGGTTGATAAGCCGTAAAAAAAAAGAACAATCAACCAACAAATCGTAGACAACGCAAGAAGCATTTTAATAAGGTACGGCACAAGGATTTATTTGAACCGGTCAGAAAACCGCATTTTTTTCGGCAAAGATATTATAATTGTCCAGAATCGGGGAAAATGCCTATATACAGATAGAAAATGAATTGATATCTCAGTTATTTCTCTTTAAATTATCAATCCATCTCTGTTCCCTATCTATCTATCTATCTATCTATCTATCTATCTATCTATCTAAGTCTTTTATCTATCTAAGTCTTTTATCTATCCAAGTCTCTTACGTATCTATCTATTTATCTATCTCAGTTTTATCTATCTATCTATCTATCTATCTATCTATCTATCTATCTATCTATCTGTCCGTCTGTCTGTCATATGAATGGTATTTTATGTCGTGGAAGGAGTAATGATAAAAAGAAAGAATAATGGATCAAAAGAAGATGGAAATCTATCTATCTATCTATCTATCTATCTATCTATCTATCTATCTATCTAATTCTTTTATCTATCCCAGTCTTTTACGTATCTATCTATTTATCTATCTCAGTTTTATCTATCTATCTATCTATCTATCTATCTATCTATCTATCTATCTATCTATCTATCGGCCGAAACGTTGTAAATATGGCAATGAAGATGAGAAAACAGTCCGAATAATGTACATAATCATAAAACCTCATTTAAGCGATATAGACTGAGATTTGTTTTTATTTATCAATCCGACATTTTTTATTACTTTTCCGTTATTTTTAGTGGATACTCGTATTTGTGTAGACGTCATGTTTATTTATCAAACGGTATATTTATTTTCTAAATACGTATTTTTTGTACTTTTATAGTGTTTTGTTTTTGTTTGTAGTTCCACCATTTGTACATTACTGAGAGCCTAACAGGTGCTACCACCCTGGCTTAGAGTGATAATAACAGCTTTTTAAAATCTCCCGATCAGAGGCCTTGCTGCTGGATGTAGTTTATGGTCATACCCAGGATTTGCCCTACGTTTCTTGAGAGTGATTAACGCATCTTTACCTGACTTCTGTTTTTTGTAACGGGAAGGGGTTCCAAAATTATCAAAAGCCTTTTTTTTCGGGAAAGATTTTATAATTGTCCAGAATTGGGGGAAATGCCTGTATACAGATTGAAAATGAATTGATCAAGAACGTAAAAAAACAAAAAAAACACCAACAACAATAACAACAACAACAATACAACAACAACAATAATAATAAAAATGAACTATTGTGTTAACCCGAAATCCAGAGTCTGTATTGAACATCCAGAAATAATCTTGTATCGGGTTTCACGGTATTCGTATCCACCAAATATAAAACTCGGCATGACAAGTTGGGCTAATATTTCCACTGGAAAATCTGCAACCCATATGGAAAGGAGACTGCAAAAAATTGGGATGAACACCACCCAGACCCGGTTAAAGAGATAGGACCTGTAACAAATTTTTAGGACTTTACATTACACACAGACAGAAAAAAAACAAAGCTAGTCATCCAGACATCGTGATAAAAGGAAATAATAATAATAATAATAATAATAATAATAATAATAATAATAATACAATAATAATGTCGCAGGTTGTACGATATTGGCACCCACTGAATATAAAACCCGACATGACAGAGTGGGCCAATATCTGCACTGGAAAATCTGCAATTTCTACGGGAAGGAAACTGAAAAGAAACTAATAATGAACACCAACCAGACCGGTTACGGAGATGGGACCTGTTTGCAATTCTATGGGACTACACAATACACACTGACAGAACAATCAAGGCCAACCGCCCAGATATTGTTATTAAAGACCACAAACAAAAACAGTGCCTCCTTATTGATATGGCAGTCCCTGCCGACTGCAATGTATCTTTGAAGATATTCAAAAAGTTGTCAAAGTACAAGGACCTTGAAATAGAAATCTCGAAAATGTGGCATATGGGAACATCAACAATCCCTGTTGTGGTTGGAGCCCTAGGACTGGTTGGAAAAAGATTCCAGTAGACTAATTGAAGGGTTCCTGGAAGTCCATGCCTCAAGGAGATATTACAGAAAATTGTTCTGACAAGTACAGCCCACACCTTACGAAGGGCTTTATCTATGTAATCTTTTTCTTTTTTTTTTTTTTTTTTGTCAGTGGAAAGTGTCATGACGCCATTTCTAACCTTCGGTCCCTGGGCGGGACCCGGAAAGAAAGGTGTAAACGCCAGAAATCAAAGAAAATAATAATAATAATGATAATAATAATAATGAACTATTGTGTTAACCCGAAATGGAGAGTCTGTGATGAACACCCAGAAATAATTGACCATCTTGTATCGGCTTTCACGGTATTAATATCCACCAAATATAAAATTCGGCATGACAGGTTGGGCCAAGATCTCCAGTGGAAAATCTGCAACTTTTACGGAAAGGAAACTGCAAGAAATTGGTATGAACACCACCCAGACCCGGTTAAGGAGATAAGACCTGTGACAATTTTATAGGACTTTATATTACACACAGATAGAACAATCAAAGCTAGTCACCCAGACATCGTGATCAAAGGCAATAATAATAATAATAATAATAATAAAATATTGTGTTAGCCCCAAATGCAGATTCTGTGATAAATATCCAGAAACAATTGATCATCTTGTATTAGGTTGCACAACTAGAATTGTTAATGTCCTCATAAGCCACATTTTTGAGATTTCGATTTCAAGGTCCTTGTATTTTGATAGTTTCTCGACCCCTTTTTACTTCAGTCCGCACGTACATTTTTACAGTGATGTTCATCCTGTACAAGGCCCAAGAGACACTCGATGTAGAGGGTTACAGTGTAAGTGACACAATCCCAAGCAACGAGATCAGACCACCAAGACGCAAGGTGCCACCGGAAGTGCAAGAGAAGGAAAAGACTTTAGAAGGAACCGGAAACCAAATTCTAAACCGGAAATAAGCTACAAACTCCTGATCAAAATAAGAGGAGGTGCGGGAAATAGACAATAGACGAAGCTACCTGCTCCCATCTTTGAAGAATATACAGGGTGGCCATAAAGTCCATGTGCACTTTAAAAAATTTATAACTTTATTTGTATTTGCGATAGAAATAATTTGTAAAAAGGATCAGAAAGAAGTAAATCTATATTTTTTTAAGGTTTTATTGAAATTTTATTTAAGTTTCCACATGTCCTCCATCATTAGCAATACAAAGGGTAATACGATTTTGCACTTCACAAAAAACATTTGCCAACTGATTTATAATAATGCCTGAAATCACATATCATATTTTAGCTATACTTAAAACTAGGTACATTAAACTTTATAACGTTTTTACAGATTATTTCTATCGCAAATACAAATAAAGTTTTAATTTTTTTAAAGTGCACAGAAACTTTATGGACACCATGTATAAAACTCTGGAGCTCGCTTTAAATTTCAATAAGGAAAAATTAGTCATGAAATTTGAAATTAACATTCAGTTTAAACAACAAATGACATTATATCTGCGCTGTGTCGTATTCTAACGTAAGGACAATTTATTTTTAGAAAATGGATTTGGTGTCTCTATCTCTTTAAAAATACTCCAACTTTTAATCAGCCCTGACCACAGGTTGAACAGTGGTAGAGAAAAATGACATAATGCCCAGCCACCGGTTGAACAGTGGTAGAAAAAATGACATAATGCCCAGCCACCGGTTGAACAGTGGTAGAGAAAAATGACATAATGCCCAGCCACCGGTTGAACAGTGGTAGAGAAAAATGACATAATGCCCAGCCACCGGTTGAACAGTGGTAGAGAGAAAAATGACATAATGCCCAGCCACCGGTTGAACAGTGGTAGAGAAAAATGACATAATGCCCAGCCACCGGTTGAACAGTGGTAGAGAAAAAATGACATAATGCCCAGCCACCGGTTGAACAGTGGTAGAGAAAATGACATAATGCCCAGCCACCGGTTGAACAGTGGTAGAGAAAAATGAACATAATGCCCAGCCACCGGTTGAACAGTGGTAGAGAAAAATGACATAATGCCCAGCCACCCGGTTGAACAGTGGTAGAGAAAAATGACATAATGCCCAGCCACCGGTTGAACAGTGGTAGAGAAAAATGACATAATGCCCAGCCACCGGTTGAACAGTGGTAGAGAAAAAATGACATAATGCCCAGCCACCGGTTGAACAGTGGTAGAGAAAAAATGACATAATGCCCAGCCACCGGTTGAACAGTGGTAGAAAAATGACATAATGCCCAGCCACCGGTTGAACAGTGGTAGAGAAAAATGACATAATGCCCAGCCACCGGTTGAACAGTGGTAGAGAAAAAACATAATGTAATACCCAGCCACCGGTTGAACAGTGGTAGAAAAAATGACATAATGCCCAGCCACAGGTTGAACAGTGGTAGAGAAAAATGACATAATGCCCAGCCACCGGTTGAACAGTGGTAGAGAAAAATGACATGGTAATGCCCAGCCACCGGTTGAACAGTGAAAAATGAAATGTAATGAGCCACAGGTTGAAAGTGAGAGAAAAAATGACATAATGCCCAGCCACCGGTTGAACAGTGGTAGAGAAAAATGACATAATGCCCAGCCACCGGTTGAACAGTGGTAGAGAAAAATGACATAATGCCCAGCCACAGGTTGAACAGTGGTAGAGAAAAATGACATAATGCCCAGCCACCGGTTGAACAGTGGTAGAGAAAAATGACATAATGCCCAGCCACCGGTTGAACAGTGGTAGAGAAAAAATGACATAATGCCCAGCCACCGGTTGAACAGTGGTAGAGAAAAATGACATAATGCCCAGCCACAGGTTGAACAGTGGTAGAGAAAAATGACATAATGCCCAGCCACCTGTTGGTTGAACAGTGGTAGAAGAAAAATGACATAATGCCCAGCCACCGGTTGAACAGTGGTAGAGAAAATGACATAATGCCCAGCCACCGGTTGAACAGTGGTAGAGAAAAAATGACATAATGCCCAGCCACCGGTTGAACAGTGGTAGAGAAAAATGACATAATGCCCAGCCACCGGTTGAACAGTGGTAGAGAAAAATGACATAATGCCCAGCCACGGTTGAACAGTGGTAGAGAAAAATGTAATGAACCGGTTGAACAGTGGTAGAGAAAAATGACTTAATGCCCAGCCACCGGTTGAACAGTGGTAGAGAAAATGACATAATGCCCAGCCACCGGTTGAACACTGGTAGAGAAAAATGACTTAATACCCAGCCACCGGTTGAACAGTGGTAGAGAAAAATGACATAATGCCCAGCCACCGGTTGAACAGTGGTAGAAAAAATGACATAATGCCCAGCGGTTGAACAGTGGTAGAGAAAACCTGGTAATGAGCCACAGTTGAACAGTAGAGAAAAATGACTTAATGCCCAGCCACCGGTTGAACAGTGGTAGAGAAAATGACATAATGCCCAGCCACCGGTTGAACAGTGGTAGAAAAATGACATAATGCCCAGCCACCGGTTGAACAGTGGTAGAGAAAAATGACATAATGCCCAGCCACCGGTTGAACAGTGGTAAGAGAAAAAATGACATAATGCCCAGCCACCGGTTGAACAGTGAAAAATGTAATGCCCAGCCAGAAAAAATGACATAATGCCCAGCCACCG